TCCTTTTGTGACTGTTTGGTTATGATATGAGAAAGTGGTAGCTTTAACTTAAAGGTTGGTGATTGCTCACTTGTAGGTGGAGAAAAAGGCTTAACCTTGCCCACATCAACTAAATCCACTATATAGCAATTTTCTGTAGAGGCAAGATGCTTAATGCATTGAAAATATTAAACTCGACTACTTCATCTTCGACTTTAAAAGTTACCTTGTCTTCCTTCACATCAATGATTGTGCCTGCAATAGTGAAGAATGATCGTCCCAAGATTAAAGGAATTTCCACATTTTTATCCATCTCAAGCACAATGGCATCCACCAGAATGTAGAAATGCCCAACTTTAACCAACACATTCTCTATAATCTCAACAAAATACCTTATTGTTCATTTTGATAATTATAAGGTAACCATAGTAGGCCGAATCTCCTTAAATCCAAGTTTCTTGGTAATAGATAAAGGAATTATGGAAACACTAGCACCCAAATCACACAAGGCTTTAGAAATTTTAAAACTGCCAATAGTGCAAGAAATAGAAAAACTCCCTAAATCCTTATGCTTTGGTGGAAGCTTATTTTGGATTATATCACTATGCTCTTCAGTAAGTACAACTGTCTCAAAATCTTTTAATTTCTTCTTTTTAATTAGGATGTCTTTCAAAAACTTGACATGGATTGGCATGCTTTCCAAAGCTTCCACAAAAAGAATATTGATGTGAAGCTTTTTAAATGCTTATAAGAACTTCTAGAATTGATGATCAAGCTTTTGTTTCTAAAAGCATTGAGGAAAAGGTGGTGGTGGTGGGTTTGCCTTATATCTTTCACTTGAACTAGCTTGTTAGCATTCTCAACCACTATCTTATCCTCAATAGGTTTATCTTGAGCTTTAACTTGCTTGTTACTACTTCCTACCTCTTTTTCATTGCTAAGGGTGATCGCATTATAATGTTCTTTACCTTTTTTCCTAGGATTAGCTTCCGTGGCACTATGTAAGGTATCTTGAGGCCTATTGTTGATGGTGTTGGCAAGTTGCCTAATTTAAGTCTCTAAGTTTCTCATTAAGGCTACTTGACTATGAATGAGAGCAACATTCTTAGCCATATACTGCATAAGCAATTCTTCCATCGTTGGCTTTTTCTCTAGCATATAAGCTTTAGCTTGAGGTAGAAAACTAGGGAGAAAATTTGGCTTTGGAGCTGAAGTAAATCCCTGATTATTAGTCAAAGAAAAATTTGTATGATTCTTCCAGCCTGGGCTATAGGTGTTGGAATACAGGTTGTTCTGTATCTTATTGAAATTCCCAACAAACAAAATCGAATTATAACTAACCTGACAGTAATCATTAGGATGCCCTTTTCAATAATAGTCACAAGTAACAAATGAGCTCTAAATAGAATAAACCAGCATTGAATCAAACTTTTTAGTCAATGCTACTACTTGTGTAGTTAATGCATTGATAACATCCAACTCATGAACACCAGTTACTAGAATTGCTCTTATAGATAAACACTGATAATTATTAAATGCCATTTCTTCCAACAAATCATAAGCCTCATTAATAAACTCAGCCGTAAAAGCTCCCTCAGCGGCTACATCAATAGTAGTCTAAATATGACCATTCAAACCATTATAAAATGCTTGTACATGAAGCCACTTTGGTAAACCATGATGAAGACAATGCCAAAGCAAATCCTTGCATCTTTCCTAGGAATCATACAACAATTCAAAGTTAAGTTGCATGAAAGAAGTAATATCATTCCTTGTGTTCCTTATTTTGGTTAAAAAAAAAAAACTAGCTAAGAAGTTTTAAGCAAGATCATCCTAAAGAGTAATGGAGTCTATGGGAAGTGAGTTCAACCAAATCTTTGCCTTGTCTTACAATGAAAAAGGACAGAGTCTCAATCTAAAAGCATCATCAGTAACTCCATTATGCTAGAAAGTGTCATAGATTTCCAAAAAACTTGAGATAATGAACATTAGGATCATCATTAGGTAAACCCCCAAATGGGTCTGAAGTCTTAATCATTTGGATGATTGTTGACTTTATCTCAAAGTTATTAGCTTGAATAGTTAGCCTTTGAATGCTCAAATGAAGACCTTGGACCAACGGGATAGCATAATCTCTTAAAGATCAATTATCCTCCACTAATTGCCCTTGAATTTGTTGCTCTCCTAGTTGTTCGGCTATTGTTTCTACATGAGTTGTAGTTTGTAAATTTTCTTCGAAATCTACCAGAAGGGTTCTCAATTTCTGGATCAAAAGGTACAATATCCAAACTTCTTACTCTTTGCATATATTGACTAAAAATACCTAAAATAAATAAAAACAAAGATTGAAGACTTGTTTGCTAGGTATTAATATTAGCAAAAAGCAAGAAAAACAATTCCCTGGCAACAGTGCCAAAACTTATTGTTAAATTTCTCCACTCAAATGTACGTGTCCTAATAAGTAATATAGAGGAAAATAGACTGTCGAATCCTATGGGGAATTGCACCAATTTAAGATAATTACTAAAATTGTGGAAAACTAATTTTATCCAAGTAATCAAAACTAAAAGATTAATTAAAAGCAAAATTAAACTAACAAACAAAAACTAATAGTTGTAAGACAAAATTTACTAAAACAACATCTAACTAAAAGCCTAGGATTATCATATCCCTCAACACTTCATTTAAACCCTATTTTCTCTCTCTAAACTTCCTTCAATGGATTGAGTTGCTTACCTAGAATCCTAAGTTATTTATAAGTCTCTGTCAAGTTGCTTATAGAAATATCTCTCAATTAATTTACTATATGTCTATGTAAATTTAATTGAAGATAGATTCATTAAGTTTGTGCTCTAATCTTAGCTACATATGACACATAGGTATATGTCTATCCTATATGCAAATCAAATCACCTAATCAACTAAGTGACTACGAACACATGCTATTCCATTCATGGTCTAATCTAAACTCCCTTTATCAAGTTATGTTTAGATATCCAAATCAATCTAATTGATGATCAAGCAATTAGAAGCATTAAACACAGAATTGGAATAAAAAACTCATATTCCATAGAAAATAAGTGAAAGAGAGATTAAAAAATCCAAATTACATATTGAGTTCAATCATAATCTTAGTAAAAATAAGTTAGTTCATATTATTTACAAAAAACATTAACCAAAGAAAATTAACCATTAATCCAAGTCAAAAGAAGTAAGAGAACAACAAAAGTAGAGAGAAAAACTATGAATTGAAGCTTTTGAATATCAAATCTTCTTTAAATTCTCTTGCTTTCTTGTTTTGTTTTTGGCTTCATTTTCTTCGAAATAGTTGCTCTTTATCTCTTTTTGAAAACCTTTGAAAGAGGTCTTTTTGATACTTTTCAAAAAACCCTAGAATTAAAATCATGTAAGTGCAAAATTTTAGAAACACGACAGGCACCGCGGCCTTTTTCCTTGGGCGTCGCGGTGCCCTACTCTTGGGAAAGAGTATGGAGCATCAATCTTCACCAGCGCCGATGAGAGTACAGAGCATCAATCTTGACTAGTGTCGTAGCCTTGCTTTAACAATGCCATAGAACCCCCTTCTCTAGTCTATGTATGGGATCTTGGCATTCAAGGGCACTGCAGTCTCTTCTCCTCATGGCCATGGCCTTCATTTCCATATGTTGCCTTATGTACAAATTGCAGCAGTCTAGCCTCTTCCAATGTGATTTTCACCTCAATCTAATCTGAATTGGGCAAAGTCATAAAACTAAAAGTTGTATCCTGGTCTCTTAACTTTCCAATGGCTTAAAAATCACATTAATTGGACGTCTCTAGCAAAAGTGATGCTTGAAATATTGTATCATTTACAAATGAAACTATCACCATACTTGTATGGATTATCACCAAATAAGGCTTTTTCATAAGATTTCTTACAAAAGCAATAAAAGAGATCAACAATAATTGAACTTAAAGTAATTTAAAGGAATTTAATATAAAATTACACTAAAATGCTCAATATGCATTGACTTTAATTAAGAAAAACAAATAAAATACTCAATTCTAAATCTAAAATCTCAAAAACTTAACTATTTATATTTTTAAAATATAACAAAATAACTCTATATAATAGAGTTATCTCTAAATTATATGTTGACAGCACTCTCCACCAGCGAGCTTTTGTTCTAGTTTTGTTAATTCTTTAATGTTCATCGTCTTGCTCCCTGTCACATGGACACATCCACGCGTCCTTCTTGATGCTGCTGACAGAGGCAACGGCCTCCAGCATGCGTTTTGATTTGGGTTCTGCCTCTTGTTACTGTGGACTCTGTTTTAGGTGCTCTCAAACGGCCAGCCATTTCTCTTGTATTTTCTTTCTCTCTAATGGCTGATGCCCCTGTAATTGACAAGTACCATCAAAGAAATTTCTTGATTGGCTGAGGAAAAAAGTAGTTCTAACACTCTAAGCATAAGACTTCACATTACAAAACTAGATAAGATTTAAATTAGGTTTGAATGTTCTTCAGTAAAAATGATCAAACAAAATTTGGTTTGTAAATAAAATATTGTCTATACATAAAATTTAATTATAATTATTTATTAAAAGGTGACAACTTTATCATTGTTTTTAATGAAATGCCTAATTAAAAAAGTAATAAAGTCAATTTTAAAAAAATAAAGTAACGGAGTCTATTCAAATTTTTTGTAAACTTGATTCATCTAAAAGAACCTTTGTTTTTCAAAAAATAAATATATAAATAAATAAAATCTAATAGAATCTTTCAATTTATTGGTTTTGAATTTTTGAATTTTGGTTTTTCTTTAGTCTTTTTGCAATTGGAAACCACACGAACTGAGTATTGAATATTACCTAAATCTTACCTTTCCTTCACGTAAACATCTTCACAATCAAAAGTAGTTTTATAATTAACAGTTTTATTAGTCTTTAATTGACACAGAGAATGTATAAATATGCGCCTATAAGAAACAAGAACACACAGAAATCTTAATCTTGCCCGATACTACTACGAAGGAGGCATTATGGGTTCTGAATCATCGCCCAATGTCCCTTTTCTAGATTTTTCCGATGCAGATTTGAAGCCAGGCACGGACACTTGGTTACTAGCGTGCAAAAAGGTTAGACAATCACTTGAAGAGTATGGTTGTTTCATAGTTGAATATAATAAATTCCCACTAGAACTTCACAACCAAGTCTTTGCTGTACTGCAAGAACTGTTTGATCTCCCAACAGAAACAAAAACGAAAAACAGATACGAAAAGCCCTTGAATGGCTACGTCGGACAAATTCCCAAGCTTCCTCTACATGAAAGCATGGGCATCGACAACGCTAACACCCTAGAGGGAACTCGATTCTTCACAAATCTAATGTGGCCTCAAGGAAATGATCGTTTCTGGTATTTGATCAAATCATCAAATTTTCTTTGAGCTGACTACAATTTTCTATATTTTTTTTTCCTAAAATTTTGCTCCTTCTTTGCTATGTTCTTCATTGTTAAATCAGTCAATATATTTACAAGTATGCAAAGGTAGCAGCGGAGTTGGATCAAATGGTGACCAGAATGATATTTGAGAGCTATGGCCTGGAGAAATACTATGATGCTTATATTGATACAACCACCTACCTACTCCGACTCCTGAAGAACCGAGCGCCCCGAGAGAGTGAGCCTAACCTAGGCTTTATTACTCATACTGACAAGAGTTTCACGACCATACTTCATCAAAACCAAGTCAACGCTTTAGAGGTCGAAACGAGGGATGGTACGCGGATTGATGTAGACTTCTCATCTCCTTCATCCTTTGTGGTCATTGCCGGTGATGCACTAATGGTGAGCGGTATAGAAAAAATTGTGCTTCATCTTCATTAACATTATACTTCAGTGATTAGTTTTTTTTTTTTTAATTTGAACTTAGGGGTATAAATTTCCATTCCTCTTGACTAATTAAAATTCCAGCACAAGAACCTAACAGCTTTTAACTTTTTAATGATATAATCTACAACTTAGCAACTAGAGCACGGTGATCTGCTGAAGCAACAACCGCAGGAATAAATGAGTGCCAAAAGATATGAAAGGAGTAATTAGTGAATATCTTTTTCACCATAGGTTTTAATGGTCATTAGAGGACAATGGAGAGTGTCTACTGAAGAAAATTAAAAGATGGTGATGGGTTAATTATTACCCATATTTAGATTTATGGAATGAATTTTTCAAAACGGGGTTTGTTGAATTAACAGCAGTAAGATATATTTGTAATCTTGTCTTGTTTTTGGGTTTAATTAGGCATGGAGCAATGATCGGGTACTTTCTCCTAGCCACCAAGTGGTGATGAGAGGGAATATGGACAGGTACTCTCTCGGGCTATTTGCTTTCAACAATGGAACAATTCAGGTGCCAGAAGAGCTTGTTGACGAGGAACATCCATTAAAATATAAGGCCTTTGAGCATTTAGGGCTTTTGCGCTTCTACCGCACAGACGAGGGTTACAAATCTACGTGTCCTATCAAAGCCTACTGCGGTGTGTGAATCATTAGTTAATGTATTAAAATTGTAATAAAAAGTCCTACGTCAATTAATTAAGATATCAGCGTATTTTAAGAATTAAACGTGATTAGAAATTTGGTTATATAGTCTATGTGCTGTACTCTTTCCTCTTAAACTTTAACGCAATGTATAATAAAACGTTGTTATGAATTGCTTTATATATTAAGGAAACTAGTGTCTAGTGATCTGCTTCTACCATAGCTTCGACGATATGAATGCTGCGATGACTTTTTATATCAATTTATATATTGCAATTTTTTGAGTATAAAAAATAAAGTTTGAGTTCAATTTGTTTTGTTTGGTTTGTTTGTTCTTTTTTTTTTTTTTTGCAAAATAGAGAAAAAATTAGACTAGAACATTTTTATGGCGGATGGCATGTATACCTCCTAAAGACCCTACAAATTCTGAATTTCTTTAAATCTTTAATTGGTTAAGGTACACACATATATATAAGTTCACATACATATACACGCACAGATATGTGTGTGTGTGAGAGAGAGATAGAGAGATGTCAAAGGAAATTATACATGAATGAAATTTAGAAATTGTGTTTATGGGTTGTAATTAATTGTATGTTCTAATCAGCCAATAATAATACTTGGGAGTAATAAAAAAAGATTTAGTTAAGTGCGTTAAGTCATGTCAATTCAGATAAAAAAAATTTTAAGTTGGTGAACCAAATTAACTAACTTAATATTTATTATTTTTTAAGGCAAGTCTTGCATGAATCTCACGCAAATTCTGCATACTCACATATAAATTAAGGGCTCAAATCCAATGGGTGAGAAATTATTATTATTTTTTGTCTATATAGACAGGAGAGGGAATCTTGCTTCACCTTTATATAGTGAATCATTAATTCTACCCGTTATAAAATTTAAGGTTTCCTACATAACCCTACATTTTTAAACCCACATATACCATTGGAGTCTAGCTTACTTTATTAGATTGTGTCATGGACTATAGTATTATTTCTTTATCAAAATCAACTTAACTTAGCCTAATTTTGATAAAATACAAAAAATAAATAATATAAGTCCAAACTTTGATTTTACAAGAAAATCTAACAATTTCCCATTTGGACTACAATATTTAAATTTAAATTTGGAAAAGTAAAATTTTGAAATTGACACCCTAGCTAGGACAGCTAAAAACTTTACAGGTCCAATTTTAAAAGTAAATTGGTCTTGAGAATACTCTCGACAATGTTTTGTCCAACAAAATTTTGTGATATCGAAAAATAGCGGTACCTACATCTAAAAAAATATAGCACTAACTATAATCACATATATCACTTAATCCTATCAAGATGAACTCAATGTTGTAGTGTAGCAATAAACAACAACACTCTTGATGATCTATTTCATATGTTGTTTTCATTTGTTAATCACTATAATCTCTACTTTCTGCAACCCAAACTTACAAGAGAAACACTTTATGGTTTATTCAATAAACCTGTATGTCTACTTACCTATCTTGAGATATACTTTATGTGTCAAATACATACCCTGAAGGTTATCAATTTATTTCCCAACCTATGCTTAAGACTTACAAATGTCTTAAAACATCGCATACTAAAAATGTATACATACCTAAATACATTATGACTGAATATTATTGAGTAATCATTATTCATAATAAATTCAAATGCATCGTCAAGGATGTGTTCCAAACAAATTATGCACAAAACATAAAACAATGTAAAATCCTCCCACAAATCAAGTACATCAAAAGAATCCATAATTCCCATGTTAAAATATGTTTCTTGAAATTGACCAAGCGAAGTCCCCTGGTCAAATGATCAACTAACACATCTAGAGTTCTAATATACTTTACTAAATGTCACCTTCTTTTTAACAAGTTTTTTAACCGTCAAATATTTTATCAGTTCTCTAGTGCCAAATTCGCAAACGTGGGTCTTAGTGCTTGTGCACCCTTTGGATCAAACTCCAGCTAGATCGATAACTCATCACTGTATTTCTGCAATATAGCCAAAGCTTATGGTTCCTACAAATAAAAATGTAATTAAAAATTATTAAGTTATTTAATTGGTACGTGACATATATATTAACTTTATATATATAAACACACATATTACTTATATAGATATTCTTGGACTTGTTGTCCACAAATTCTCTAGTACCCTTTTGTCACTTGTGAGTACGTTCAAAAAGCTCAGAGAATGTGACTTAGCGTTGCTTTTCCTCGTCCTATAATCATAAAAACATGTTAACAACTTAAACAATTGTATTATTAAAGTGAATGATTTTTGTAATATTTAAATAAAAGCACTTACTAGCTGCTATTGGTGTAGGGTGAAAGGCAAGGAACTGTTGGTATGTTTTAACAAGCTGTTGTCCTTCTTAGTTAGGTGATTCTGTCTAGCCTTGCAGGAGTGTGACTTCAACTCGAGCTTGGACCATACATCATCGACTAGATAGTCTCATACCTTAGTAGTGATCTAGAGTTTGGCCTTACCCTTCGTCAATACAAGAACGATGTCGGGGCCACTTACTTCCCTCTTAGCCTTATCGCACTCATCCCCTAGTAGGTCCTTGAGGTGATCCTTAGAAATCTTTTCCCCTATGGGCAGAACCTGTATTGCATTTGCAGCAATCCATGTAAAAGATTCCTACATCTAAGAAAAATAAATATTAGTATGGGAAATTATCCAATGTTATACACTAAAAGTATGTCATTATGTTACCTTGAATTTCCACCACATGTTATCCTTATGCTCCCAACGTACTTGCCTCCATGTCAAGGTTTGATGAAATTACTTTTGATAATTCTCGTAATCATCAGAGTAACACCAGTTTCCTCAAAAGTGCAAGAAAAATAGACTTATTGTTAATAAAATGCATAAATTAAGTAACTAAATTGACTACATATAATTAATGATATAAATTGGTCTAGAGGAACTTACCTCCCTTTGAGAGAATGTATAAGTATTTGTCGGTCCGAATGAGTCCGAGTCAACAAACTGAGACTTGACGCTTTTTCCTTAGATTATGACATGTTGGATGCCATGGTAGTGTCCAGAGTGGGGGTTTCAACTAGAGCAGTCAGACTTGACATCGGTACCTTTGCTTGTACGGTAGTACTATCTGTTGCTATATGTGAGGTCTATGGTCTGCGATGAGGAGGCGACAAAAGAGGTGGCAGAGGTTGCCACATAGAATGTCTGGTAGTCAAAGAGCCCTCATTGTTACTAGCTCAAAAGCTATCCTTCATCTTCTTATTCACCGTAACCATGTTTGCCAATAAGAAGAACAATGAACAACTATATAATTATAAAATTTAGAATATGTATATAAACATTCATTTAAATGTCATAGTTGAAATAATAAATTTGTACAATTTGTTTTTGAAAACCAAAGATCCATCAATCATCATCGAAACAAGGTAACTCATGTTCTTTGTTTCCATATTCATCATCATCAATATTGTTTTCATCTTTTTCATCTGATTCTTCCTTTATCTCATCGTATTCTTTTTCAGCTTTATCTTTTTCCTCATTATGTTCAACGTCCACCACCATATTAACTTCTTCCTATTCACTAGTCAAAAGAATTGTATTATTGGCAAGGTTGATCAAACTATGATCAAATTGTGAATTGAAGGAAACTTCATCTTTTTTATACACCTTTTATTAAGGTCGACCATTTCCCTTCACTTTATTCATTATCCATAATGGGAAATTGACTTTGAGCTTTTGTTTTAAACACTGGCCATCAATCTGTTGATTTCTTTTGTTTAATGGACATGGAGTGTAGTACACTTGAGTTGCTTGTTTAGCCAAAACAAAAGGCTCATTGCTAGCTGGAATTAAGTTGTGTTTAATTTTGACCAACCCATGAATAAGATCTACTTGAGCACCTTTGTCGATGTCAAACCAATGGCATTTGAACAATACGACTTGGTTGTTCACACTAAAGTATTTTAACTCAATGATATGAACCAATAATTTGTAAAAGTTATGATCATAATCATTATAACAACTTCCCTTGATGCATACGCCGTTATTCATCGTTTTACGATTCTGACCATAATCCAATGTGTGAAACTTGTATCCATTGATGTAATAACCTTTGAAACACCTTGCTATACAATCAGGTCCATGAGAGATGTCGACAGCACAAGAGTCAATTTGACTCGCATGTTGGTGAACCTATGAAAATGTTACATGGCTTTCAATTATTTGAAGTATTAAATAAACAAAATTAAATTGTTTAAACCAATTACAAAATGATGCGTCATTGTCAATTAAATTCTACCTATACAAGTATACATATAAAATAGATAGTATATTAGAGCAGAGTATTGGTCCTTTAGAAGAGAATTGTCCTAAAAATTTACTAAGTACTAAAATTAAAACAATTTAGTTTTATTCAAGTAATCAAAATTTTAATAACTAATTAAACTAAAAACTAATCAAGTAATACTAAACTAATTGACACTAAAAATCAAAGCCAAAAAATAATTGAATAAAAATCAAATTAGAAAAGCCTAGAATTACAAGCTCCCTTACACTTCATTTAAATCTTTCCTCTTTCTCTTAACTTATTCTAATGGGTTGAATTGCTAACTTAGAGTCCTCAATTATTTATAATGCTCTCCCGAGTCTCTTATAAAAATATCTACTTTAATCAAAATACTATATTCCTACGGGAATTAAAATAAAAATAGACTCATTAAGTTCAGGCTCTAATTCTAGCTACAAATGACATACAGGTATATTCCTATCCTAAACATGAATCAATTTATTCATCTAAGCAAATAAATATAATCATATCCTACTCTAATTCTAGTTTACTCTAAACTCCCTTTCCCAAGTTTGTTTAGGTTCCTAGATCAATTAATTGGTGCCTAGGCAATTAAAAAGCATTATGAACAAATTGGAATAAATAATTCTATCCCATTGAAAATAAGCTAGAATGAGATTAAAAATTTAAACTACATGTGAGTTCAATTGCAATCCTAGAAAAAAAAATTTTGCTAGACATAATGAAAATAGAAACTAAAAACATATGAAGTTTACCTATCAAGAGTAATAAAAAATACTAAAAGCTAAGGAAGAAGAAAATAAACTAATTTTTGCAACCTTGATCTTCAATCTTCAATTTTCAGCCTCAACCTCTATCTTCTTGAATCTCTCTCAAGATTTCTCCTCAATGTTTATAGTTATGTATATATGGCTAACTTCTTGTTAAGCTAACTATTTATAGCCTAACTTAACCTAATTATACCTAAATTGAACTATTTTAGCCTAAAAATTCTTAATATGGGCTTAGAATAAGTGTAGAGCCTAATAGGAACTTAGTCAGATTGTAGCATGCTCTTTTCTGGCTTGTTTCTTCAAGTTTTCTAGCTCAATGTTGTGGCATAGCCCATCTATGTCATGGCACTCCTATTGCTTCATGTCTTTTTCTCGTTGACTACTACACTCTGTCAACTTCAACTGTGCTTTTCTCCATCTTCAAGGTAGAATTGGGCAAAGTGATCTTCATGAAAGTTTCAGCTTTGTGTCTCTTAGCTTTCCAATGGTCCAAGAATCACATCATTTAAGTTTTGTAGTGGAATTTAACAAATACTGAGACATGTACGAACAAGGCTTGAACTCTTTAAACACCTTTCTTCATCCAATTAAGCCTTATTCTTCTAGAATTTTACAAAATATATAAAAACTAATAATTAATAAATAAATTAAGATAGATAAACATAAAATTTATTTAATTTAATAAAAATAAACTAAATAGAAAGCTAACTAAAAATAACTAAATTCTAACCTAAACTCAAGAACTTTGCTACCTTTTAGGAATAATATGAGATAAAATAATTATATTTCATAGAATTATTAGTCATCTACTTGTTCCAATTCCTTCTTGAATATACTGTACTTTTCTCTTTTAACCATATTGTCAAACATCCTATCAATAGGAGAAGGAGTAATCATAAATTAACACCATTGTCCAAATGACAATTTTCAAAATTATTACTTAAACTTATACTTGCTCAATGTACGGTAATATCTCAATGTAGTTCATTAGTACATATAGTTCGGCTGAGTAGAACTCATGGTCCTCTAAGTATCGATGTTTCTTGTGTTGACCTAAAGGTCAACCAAGATAAGTGAAATCGAAAGACGATCGTCGGCATCAACTTCTTGATCGTTGTTATTCCGTGGGACCTGATTCATTCTTGTTAGGGTTGTAGTTTCGACATATATCGAACAAAACAATGATATATTCCTCGATGATATATGCTTCACAAATGGATCTTTCCATCGATGCTTGACTTTTCACCCCTTTTTTCAAATGCTTTAAAAACCTAAAAATCAATGTTTGTTTTTAGATTCTAATTGTCAAATACCTTAAAAATTTAAATTACATGTGTGGGTTTAGGGGTTTACCACTTAATCAGATACATCCATTGGTAATTGATCAGCCTTTCAACCTTAGCTTCATGTGGCAAGTTGATCAGCAAATGCTCCATTGAGTTGAAAAACTAAGGGGAAAAATCTTTTCTAATTTGCAAATGGTTTTAATGATTTTCCCTTTCCATGCATTGATATGCTCTAGATGCAGTTCAATTGCACATACACCATAAAAGAAATGTGAGATCTCAACAATTGCACTCTATGTAGCATGAGGGACCATATCATGCAGGGCAATTAGGAGCAATCCCTATAGGAAAACATGACAGTCATGACTTTTCATTTCATAAAATTTTCCTTTTTGCTCATTTGCACAGTTTGTTATGTTAAAGGCAAAACCATCTAGTAATCTTAACTATTTCATGCAAGCACACACAGTTTTCTGTAGCTCATTCGTCGAAGTGTTTGAGGCATTCAATTTAAAAAGTTTACTGTTAGTTTCAATTAAGTTCAATTCCAAACACCTGCAACACACCTCCAAATCACAACAAGCCTTGATATTGTCTTTCATCTTCCTCAAAACATCTATTAGCATGTTGAATATATTTTTTTTGTATGTTACGCTTAATATGCGTCGCATCCAAGTTGTGACAAATGAGATTTGTCAGCTAATACGGTAACTCCCAAAATATGCTTATCTTTGTCCAATTATGGGTTTCATTGAAACGTAATAATTTCTAGTCACCCATTTTCATACCACATGTGATATTTAGAATTGACTCCAATCGTTCCCAGACCTCCGTATAACCAAAGAATTGATGGGGTCATGCTCAATGTGCTTCTTACATTTATCTCTTTGGTGATGGAAAAGATGATCCATTGGCAATAATTATCGATGACATTTTTTCAAAAAAAAAAAAGCCTTCCTCTTGTACGTCAAGAAAAAACTCTTTTCATGTTCCATGCAATATGGACATGATAAATGTCCATGAGTGCTCCACCTGGATAACATACCATATTCTAAGAAGTCATTAATGGTCCATAGGAGTGCTGATTGTAGAATAAAATTTTGATAAGTAAAGGCATCATATGTAACCACCCTTTCATCCCACAGAACTTTTAACTCATCCGTCATAGGTAAAAAAAAAAACATTAATGTTCTGTGTACGACGTGTCCTCCTTGAGATGACCATACTAAGAAAGATGTATAGTTATTTCATGCACATCCATGAAGGTAAGTTATAGACAATGACCATTACAAGCCAAACATAATACAATTTCACTATCGACCTGAATGGACTAAAACCATCTGAACATAAATTGAGTTTGACATTGCAAGGCTTAAAGGTAAAAGATTGATGTGTGAGATTAAAATGTTACCATGCCTCACCATCAACAAGATGCCTTAGCACTCCATCATTAGATTAGTGTGTAGCATGCTATGTCATGTGTTTTGTAGTTTTCTTTGACATATATAGCCTTTAAAATCTCAATATTACTGGAAAGTATCACAAAATCTTAAAATGAATTTTTTTCTTCTTTCCTCCCCTTGACTTATTTGGTTTATAATGAGGATGACCATAAGATGGATAATAAGACAACTCAGAATATTTATTATAAAACATGCATGAATTTTCTGATAGCCAAGCCTAAGTTCCTTCAACTGTCTTCATTCTATAAGCGCTTGTCAATAATGTTTCATCAGATGGCAACATCTCTTTCACTAGCCACATTAGACGATTAAAGCATGCCTCACTCATATTAAATTCTAACTTCACATTCAATTATTGGGACGTAGCTAATAGTTTTGTGTGCTTTTCATATTTGACTGACAAAGCTGCATCGGCATCATTAACCAAAAAAAAAAGATGTAGCGTTCGAATTAGGATATTCAAGATAGATAGGTTCATTTCGG